GGGATGTGGGGGTTTGCACCCCGTTGTTAAGACTAATGGGACTGGGAGGTTTCAAAGCTCCTTTTCCCCACCTTTTCCCCAGCCAATCCAAATTTCAGTAATTGAAATGACAGGTGCTCAGTGTTTTAGCTGCAGTAAAAAGCTGAATCCTAGATGTATTACGTGGGAAATGTCAGCAACAGACAACCTGGATGTGAGGTCTTGGAAATATGTCCAAGGCAAACGCAGTTGTTGTCCTGACGGACAGATAACATACAGAGGTTATCCCAGGCAATTAAGAAGGAGGTGGAGTTAAAAGCCCTGCTGTTGCCACATGAAACTCTCAGTTAAGGGATTTTTCACATGAATTATGATGTTCTGGCAGCAAAATCAGATGCAGAAGTCTTAATTAAGTTTTGGGTCAGGCTTTGTCCAAAATATCCAGGAAAAGACTTTGCCCTGCTGAAGATCAAGCATTTTGTCTGTTCATAAGTTCTTTATAAACATATGAAGCTTTTATCCTGTCTTTTGGGAAACAGGGTTTGTTGGAAGATGCTGTGTTTTCTTTTTTCTTCCAAATAGGTAATTCAGATGTTTCTCCTAGCTGGCAGAAACACGTTTAGATGAAACCCTGTCCACTCTGTGAGCCACCTGAAACTGAAGCAGGGATGACTATCCTGACACAGCTTTTCTAAGACTTGTGAGCCTGAGCTCCACCTGCTTTATGGTAACATCTCTGCTCCCATACAGGTTACCTGTGCTTTAGAGATGTGCTGCAAAACTCCCTTACCTTACCAGGTCATTGAGGTCGCCTGTGCCCTCTGTGCCCAGGTGTCCCATGTGCTCACGTAATTCCATACACAAGGTGTCCATAAACATGTACACATTGGAAGGACCCATTTTTCCCTTCATCATGCTGTAGATGTTACTATGGTTCTGATAAAATGCTTCTGCAGGAACAGAAACTAAATGCAAAAAAGACACAGAAAAGTTTTGCAAAGTAGATGGAGTAGATTTTAACTGAGAGTGAAAATTTTTACACAGTTTATGACTCTAATTTAAATGCCTTAACCCTCATTTTCCTAGAGTGAAATTCCCAGAAAGCTCCTTCTAACTCTGTAAAGATTTTGGTGAGCCCTCTGCTTCTACCAGTCTGTGTAACGTCTTCCTGCCTCATGAAGCTTCAGTGCCAGAATCAACAATCCAGAGATTTCCCCCCAGCTTCAGTGTGGATATAGAGAGATGTGCATGCACTCCACAAAACCGACTGAAATGAAAAATAAATTAATCCAAGAAAAAACCATTTGGGTCTTCATGCTATAGAACATCCTCTCAGCCACACCAAGAGAGGCTGAGAGAGCTGGGACTATTCAGCCTGGAGACGAGAAAGCTCAGGAGGATCTTATCAGTGTGGATAAATACCTGGTGGTGGGAGTAAAGAAGATGAGGCTGGGCTCTTCTCAGGGCAGGAGGCAACAGGCACAACTGGGAATAGAGGAGATTCCACTGAGACATAGGAAAGTTCTTATTGTGACCATGGTCAAACACAGGAACAGGTTGCCCAGAAGAGGAGTCTCCATCCTTGGAGATACTCAAAACCCAACTGGACACAGCCCTGAGCAACCTGCTGTCACTGACACTGCTGCGAGCAGGGGCTTGGACTAGGCGATCTCCAGCAGTGCCTTCCAGCCATGGGGATTCTGTGATTTAATGTGTCTGCCAGCTTGCTTCTCTCTCATTTTACAGTCCAAAATTGCCAAACTACTCAAAGAATTCCTGTCTGTGCAATTCCATGGGGGTATAAGCACATGAGCTGACGGAGCATGCCACTGTGGATGGGATATATACTTCATCCCTTTCTAACGACTGTTGCACTACAGGGTAACCGCTAATTATTGTTACAAGCTGATTTTCAAATTAAGTGACAGGACAACATACTATTTCTCCAAACCTGATACACAGAGGTGGTGTCTAGCTGCAGAAAAGGCCCTGATCTCAAACTGGGGTTGCTTGATGACAAAAGTACTAACAGTCCCTGGTTCAGAAAACTTTGATCCCTTGAGACTGAATCCAAATCACTCAGCAGGCTTACACTGCTGGATCCACATAAGGGAATTTCAATTTGCCTTCATTTTGTAGCATGGTCATGGGTTAAGATGAGCATTTAAGGCATGATCAAAAAGCCAATGGGCTTTGGATTGGGCTTTAACGTTCCTGGGTAACTAAATTTGATTTCCATTAAAAAAGAACTAGGTGTCATTTACCTGCATTCTCAACAGCTTGTTGGACAGCCTGTTCAAAATTTAAGTCTTTAGATTTAAAAAATGCTTCAGTGCCTTCTTCCTCAGTCACAAAAGTAAACCATTTTCCCAGAGTGAATATTGTGAAGACAGGCCCATGCTGGAACAAACAGAGGTTTCATATTACTGTATTGTTAACACGTTTGACGGGAGCCCCAACAGGACTTTGGTACTGAAGGGAGGTCAGAGGAAGGACCCGGTCCTTCCTGCTCTCTGCACACCTTGGCTCAGAAGTGCACAACCACGAACATGAATCAGACCAAAATCTGTAGATTTACAGACCAGAAGGGGCCTGCCTGAGCTCTTGCAGAGTAGAAGAGATTCCTTCTCTGAGATTAACATTTTATATTTGAATTACATTACAGTTCAAACAATACAACCTACCTGGATTTAAAGAACCCAAGTGATGGATTAACTACTGCATCACCTGGCTGCCATAGTAAAGTACCCACATCGTAAAAATCCATAATCCCACCTATCTCAATCGAAATGAGTTAAAAATATGCAGGAGCAGGGAGTTTTTCTTTAAAAAAAAAAAAAAAAAGTAGATTGAGATGAATGATAAATAATTCTTTCATTTTCCCTTAATCTAATATCCTAGAGCCCTCTCAAAACTTTCAGCCATAAGTATTCACTTCTGAATTCCTACATATGGAAAAGATCACCAATATTAGCAAACAAATGTGCAATATCTGCCGGCTGTCAAGATTTAGGCATTAAAAAAATCAAAATTATGAAACGAAGCATCTTTAGCATCTTTTTCTTAGTCAAGGCAATTTCTGCTCACAGACAAAAGCCTTGGAAATCAAAGGCCCAGCATCTGCATTGATATGCACACCACCTTCTTTTGGCAAAGTTACTGTACATATGGAAAGGTTTAGAGCCTTTATAAAGTCTCTGGACACATCAAAGAACTTGATTTTCTTTTCCAGGTTATATCGCTGACAAGTTTTCTGTTGATCTGTCTGGAGTACCGAAAAGCCTTGAATCCACCTTGCTCACATGGTTTATGCTACTGACTTTAACCACTTCTTTTGTTGTCTGTGTTTGTATCGTAAAGCCTGCTTCATCAAAAGCTCTTTGAAGCCAAGGAAAATATTCCTCTTGACATCAACTGAATTTTGATCGTGTCCTTCAACTGTAAATTATTAAAGAAAGAATGACTGTTTAAGGTCTCTGTGTGAAAATAAATAAAATATTGTTTTAATAATAGATAAATTGATAAGCTTTCTTTTTTATGTATAACAGCATGTTGTCATCATCAGGCTGGATAAAAAAAATCAGTGAATTTGTACTGCGTTTGTTTTTAAATTAGATTTTTTAAATTATAAATTAACATTAAAATGTACTTAAACTAATTTTAAAATAAAATTAAATTTCAACTAGTAGCAACCTGCAATAACACTGAATTAATCAATTAAGGTTGCACTCAATTAAAGCTTGGAACACTTTATTTTAGATTATTACATGTGAGCAAGATGGCTAAGCTCCCGTTGCAGACAACAGAGATCCAGTAGGATGTGCTGAAGAAGACCAGTACAGCTTTAAGGAAGACATAAGGATGTATGGACTTAAACTCATTCCTTAGAAGAAGGAATTAAAAGTTTATTCATGATCTGGAGTCATTTGGGAGTCTGAACTATGAGGAGACCTAGAAACATCACAGAGAATTTAAGAAGAGTCAAAGAAATATTATGATTATTTTTTTTTTTAAGTGAGGCTTGATCAGTTTATTTAAAGGATTATATGGCATGGTTTCTGAAATAGAATGGACTGGAATGAGTTTTATTCCACTCCTATATTTCTGCCCTAAGATGAATGAACAAGTCACTGACCATGGTATGCACAGATGAAAGATGCAGGAAGGACAGTAATATAAGGTTAAAAACAGCCTGTTAAGCTCAAAGAAGGCAAGGAGCTCCAGATCATACACCTGAGCTTACTCTCTGGTGCACCCAATGTGCTGCAATACAAAACTGACAGCTCTTGATGTTCTTATACCTCATACTTCAGCTCATTATACTCGAACCTTTGCTTTTGTTTAACACTATGAGTTTATAACAACCATGGCTGCAAAGAACTACTTACAAACATGAAATCTAATAGTTCAAAACAAGAAAGGAAATTTTAAACATCCAGTATTTATGATTTTTTTTTCAAATTTCAGGATGTTACAGTGGTTTCATTTTTAGCTAGCTTTTGCGAGTAGTTGGCTGGGCAATTGTTCAGTGTAGAACACTTCAGGCCGACTATATTGCAGGAGCAGGTGATATCACTGAATGAAAATGGGAAACTGGGTTTTACGTCAGTATTATCTGCCTAGAAATTAAGAATCTAATCTAAATTAATCATTTAGGCGCTCTCAGACAGACAGAGAAAGAAAAGCATGTCCAGGGGGTAAACCTTCACACCCATGTTTGGTTAAGTTTTTTAGGATGGAAAAAGTTGCCCGCCAAGCGTGCCTGTGTCTCTCTTGAATGCACAGGGACACCAGCTGGTACTCAGGAATCTCACCTAACTTTAATTAATTAATAAATAATTTTGAGCAACCTGGGCTAGTGGGAGGTGTCCCTGCCCATGGCAGGGGGGTGGAACTCGATGATCCTTAAGGTCCCTTCCAGCCCAAACCATTCTGTGATTCTGTGATAATTAGACTCTTGGTCCCAGCACCGGGCACAGGGTTTTCCATGCTATCTGCAACCGAGATTAACATGCAGCCAGCCTGCAAAAGTGAAACAGCAGAGCTGCTGGGTCCAAACAGGATGATCACAACACAGTGATTGATCATGCCTGGAGTGGATCCACAACTTAGCAATGCTCCTGGTACAAAGCCCATCTTTCACCAGCTAAATGCTCCTTACATTACAAAATGTGACAGAAAAGAGGCAAACTGAATGTGGAAGCTTCTTCTTGCCCTTCCCCTCGCAGGCAGCCACGCTGAGCACACACCCACAAGCAGGCACGCCGCCACAGCCATTACCTTGCTTCTAGCTTGCTCTATAAACTCCAGAGGAGCTTTCCCAAACTGAAACGCAGCTCCAAACCAAGGGATCCAGCTCCCGATGCAAGGAGGAGAGCTCGGGTTTCTCATCTGAAACAAAACAGCCTTAAGAATAAGAAGTCCCAGGATCACTGCCAAGAGGACAGCAAGAGCCATTTTGCCTCTTCGCTGCCTGCTGCAGCAGCTGCTCCGCCTGCCGCAGCACCCCACGCAACTGTGTGGGCTGGGATGACCCGAGTCGATGAATAGAGCCTCTTTTATCAGTCTTGCCAGCTGACCACTGCCATGGAGACATGATGGCAAAGCACCAAGCAGCCCAGGGGAAAAGGCTCTTGTTTTGGAAAAAGCAGAGCCAATTCTCCCAGCGAGGACTGACTCCACTGTTTACAAAACTTGCTGTGACAAATCCTTGAACTTTGCACCCACTGCTGGAGGGCTACCCAAGCAGCCAGTGACACAGCCAAGGACACTGTGGCAAAGCAGTATGTCACTTTCTTCAGTTAAAAAAAAAAAAAAATGGCAATATCAGGATTACAAAGCAGAGAGACTGTGATTTGCAGACATTTAGGTTTCGATAAGGCAGATGGCAAGAAACTTACACAGGCATCACCTGAAGCAGTAAGCTTTTTGCAAGATCTCTCACCTGTCTGAGATCATCTCATTAAAGGCTACATGTGTGTCTAGTGCCTGAGGAGCCCAGAAATGGTTTGGAGGTTGAACTGACAATTCAAAACCAACTGGTTTTGAAATCTTGCCTGCTGGCATTGCAGTGATATTATAGATTTCAGAGAGGTCAGATCGGTTTCTTTGCATTTGTGGAAGTGGCACACTGAAATTACATACAGAATTCATTAAGTATAAAAAAACTTGAGAAGTACTCTCACAGACCACTCCTGCACACCCTCCGCAAGTTTGAAGACAATACAAAAGCAGGAGGAGCAGCTGACACACCAGATGGGTGTGCTGCCATTCAGAAGAACCTCCGCACGCTGGTGAAATATCAAACAGGGACTTACCACAGAATCATAGAATTCCAGGTTGGAAGGGATCTCAAGGATCATCTGGTCCAACCTTTCTCAGCAAAAAAGTGACTTCATGAAGTTCAGCAAAGGGAAATGCCAAGTCCTGCCCCTGGGTAGGAACATCATCTGTTTGTTCCACAGACAAGCATCCAGCTGTACATCACGTCTGACACTTCTCCCTTTACTCAAATTCTACCTTCACACATGCCTTTCTTTTTTAATGAGTCTCAGCCTTTCTGGTTCTGCCCCAGAACTGTTTCCCCATGTCCTTCCTCCCAAACCCTACTTAGTTCTGTCCCACTCTCCTCATGTCTGCGCTCCCCAGTGTCACCAGAATAAAGCCATGCCGGTGTCTGAGGAAGCCATAGACCCAGAGTGTGCTGAAACTTGTCCTCATGTATGTTTTTATGGTATTTCAATAGTTACTAACCCGGAGGCTTTATCCACTCACCAGCTTTATGTATTTTACTAGGAGAAGGATACAGCTTGTCGCTACTATATTTTGTAACGCTGTACCACAGGAACACCATACCACTTGTTTGGTGCACAATTTGTACACAATTTTGTATACACATGATTATTCCATTAGAAGTGCTCTGTACAAATACAGTCTAACTCCCTTCCTCTCCAGGAATAGGTGCACAGACAGGAATCTTTGTACCTGTGCAGACCGGCAGTACAGTAGAAGTAGCACAGCAGAAATACACCTGGTAGTAGGAGGTTAATAAGAGCTTTGAAAAACAGATCTATAGCCTTCAGGAAACTCATGCTGAAATACTCTCGGCTGTTACCCTCATAGGTGAAGAAGAACAAGCCCAAATATGTCAACTGTGACCGTAGGATGTGGATCTCAATTTCACAAACTGTCTGGAAGAAACAGATACATCACTTTTAACTCCAGTATCACTACACTTCTATGTTTATCATGTCTCTTTGTGTGTTTATTTCCTGGTTTTATTTTATCCACTAAATTTTCTTTTCCTACAAAGAGGTAAAGTGGTACACCCCAGAGGTGTATATCTAAGGGATGGGACGCAACGGACATAAGATGCAACAAGGGAAATTCTGACTGAATATAAGAAGAAAATGTTCACAAAGCGGTTAAGCAACGGAGCAGGCTGTGGGTGGGAAATCCCCATCCTTAGAGGTTTTCAGAAGGTGACCAAACAAGGCCCTGAGCAACCTGATGCTACTCTGAAGCTCTCCCTGCTCTGAGCAGAGGATTGTAGTAGATGACCTCTAGAGGTCCTCTCCAACCTAAGTTACTCTACAATTCCACAGTATACAGGCTGATATATAGTGGCACAAGCTGATCCGAGCCCAGAAAATAGCTGTGGATGGAGGCACAAAAGCACTAACAGCAGATTGCATAAACCGCTGACAGTAAGGCTCTGAACTGCTCAAACCCTTGGTGCAGCCAGGCATGTTTGCATTAAATTGCAGTACGCCTTCTTCCCAGTTTAATCAGGGTTTTCTCAGTGATTTGTCCCATTACTGCATGAATTCTAACAAATTCTGACCCAAAGAAGGATCCAATTCAAAAGTGGTTACTGGTTGACTGACAAGATAAATTCATCCCACTTCAGCTGAATATTTCACCTGCAGCGATCCCCTCATTTGTCTGAGTTGTCGTGACCTGGCCTGCACACCAAAATGTGAGTCAGACAGGGCTGGGGGGGTTGTTCAGGGATAAGTTTCAGTGACCTAAAAAATCCTCAAATCCTCAGCATGAGGATTAGTGATTAATGGCTAATGATTAACTTTGTGATTCAGCTGAGCCTGAACGATAAATGAAAAGCTTCTCTTGAACACTGCATGCCTTACTCTTTTTTTTTTATTATTATTATGAGAACCTAAATGTGCCTACATTTTTAAGAGAAATTAGGACTGGCACACAATTAATGAGGCTTCAGCGTTCAGCCAGGAAAAGCTCTAAACTTTTCACATATGGGGCTTTGGTCTGAGATTGGTTTCCATCTTCCCAGGTTTGCGTGCCCCTTGCTCAAACTGCGCTGCTCTGTGCCTAACCCCCAGGAGATGTGAATCGTTACAAGCACTAGGAAGTTAGTTCTCCAGCTCAGCATGTAGCTGTTGCTAATGCAGCTTTTGTTAAACCAGATCTGGATCAATTAATCCACCTCGGGTGCCCGTGCAGCCGTTTGGATGCAGTTTGGGGCTCCCAAGGTGTTGGGACGGCACCCCATAAAGCAAACAGACCCCACAGGTTCTCATAATCTTGAGGTCTCATTAAAGATTTTTTTTTTTAAATGTAGATAACTGGCAAAATTGTGTGTGTGACCGTACCTGCAGTGCCGGTTTCCTGGCAGAGGGTAGCACTGGTGACAGACTACATTTCCCAGGAGCCTGTTGCGCAGGAGCCTCTCGTGTCACCGCACAAGGACCTGGCAGCGCTGCAGGAGGCACTGGTGCTGCTGCAGTTCCCCGTGCTGGCGCTGGAGAAAGATGACCTTCAGCAATTTGTCTCCTAAACGAGCCAGAGCAGAGCTGAGCTAGGGTCTGGCTTTCCTCCACCCCTGGCAGGTGGCTGGTTAGCCCTGTTTCAGGTTAGACTCTAGATGTCACCTGCAGAAGAAGAGAAGAGCTTACCTCTTCCAGAGAGATGGCCCCGAGCCAGCAAATTCGCTCTGTCAGCCTGTGCAGCGGCTGTGGCAGAACTAGGTACAACTCACTGTCATTTTCGGAGAGGGAAGGGGGTCAAAATTTACTTACGGGGGGCAGGAGGAACTTCAGTCCCTGGACGTCGCCGTTCCTTGGTGTTCGCTCCAGCTTTTACGCTCCAGCAAATCTGTTCGTTCCACCCTGTTCATGGTGACTTTTCAGTAATTTAAGCCTCGCAAGTATTTTGTGCCACTTGGCTGTGGCTGGAGGGAGGAGTTTTTCAGGTCAAAATCTTTGCCTCCAAGACCGAAGGGCTGCAGTCAGAACAGAGCAGTTGTGACTAATTTAAGTTTTGTGCTGGTTGGGTTTCTGGAAGAAGATTAAAGAGGCAGGATGATCTGTTGGCTAAGTTAGCAGCAAGGGGCTGACTTCTTCAGGAATGTGTTTTGCGTAGTTAATGCAGGTTAAGCAAAGAAAAATCAAAATTTATGTTTCTGGTTAAGGTGGAGATGTCTGTAAAAATCGAGTATAGTGAACTGCCTGCTGAAATGCAGGAAAGAAGCACCCTGGCATCTGTGTTGTACTGCTTTGCGATCAGTAACTTACTTGCAATATTTCTCAGCATATTCTATATAATTTCTACAAGCTCTTACGGGCAAATCTGTTGCACTGCTGTAATGATTTGTAACTTGAAATTAGCGGCAGCAAATACATACCCGTACTGTTCCAGAAGCAGCCCTGGGAAGCTGAGATCAAAGTGGACCACCTTTCCCGGCCACTGGTTATTCCAGTGAGAAAACTAACAGGCTGAACTGTTTTTTTTGTGTCTGCATCAGCAAAGCAGCATGTTTTAGGATGGTTCATAGGACAGATGCTCAATTGCACGGGTGTTGGCACTACAGGATGGCCACTGTGGGTTGTTCCTGACTCTGTAACGTCTGCGGCTGCCACGCTGGGCAGAACTGGAGAAGCCACACGCTCAATAAGAGATTTAACTGATCTTTATTCAGGGGGGAGTAACTGGAATAGGATTTTTAATCCAGAGTCTCTTCTTGGAAAAGTATGTGTATTGCATAACAGATCTGAAAAAAGAAATGAGGGAGAAAGACTTGGTGTTTGATGGGAATGTATTTTGGTTACTCATGCCTAGAGCCACTTTTATTCTCCTGTTCTCCATGAATTGCCTGCACTCCTGTTGGGTACGGTCTCTGCTGCCTGCTGGTGCTTGCACAGCCCCCTTGGCTGCCTGGCAGGGGGGACTGTGGCACAGATGTTACAGCATGGTAGGTCTCCCACAGCTACACTCGTTTTCACGTTTCTTTCCTGCTCTTGCTCTTCAGTGACATTTCCCCTGGATCTCACGAAAACTCGACTGCAGATCCAAGGTGAAGCTGCCGTTCATCGCAATGGAGCTGCGGCTGGCCAGGCGGTCCCGTACCGTGGCATGCTGCGCACCGCCGCTGGCATCGTGCAAGAGGAGGGCTTACGAAAGCTCTGGCAAGGAGCCACACCGGC